GAGATGAGCACCACACCCCAGAGTCGGACACGACTGGACTTAATGTCAGGGGAAAACCTTTACCTTTTATGGTGACCTTTGAATGCCATAGGATTTTCTGATGCAAGGAATACTCAGGTGGTTTTGCCCATCCCTTCCTCTGACATATAGCCTGTGGCATCTGGTCTTCATTGGCAATCTCTCATCCAAGGCCTAACCATGGCTGACCTTGCTAATGCGAAAACATTTTTGTTTCTGTGCTGTTGTACTGAACACAGGATAGTGCTGTTGTCTCAGCTGCTTTGTATTTAGTCCTGATAAATTCATCCAGGTTTGATTGCATGTCTCTCCCTCCATAGTTATTTACACTATGTAACACAAGTTTTGTTCTTGGATCATAAATATTATTTCCTAATTGGTTCTATCATAAAAACATGGGAAAAGTTTATGAAATTGCAAAAACTTTGTTTCTGTGGGACATTCTGCATTCTCCTTCCATTTTCCCCAGCATAATTGTCTTCTCTAAGTTTTCCTTTATCAGGTTTACTTTGTAATAATGAAGGGCTACATAGGTGGAAGTCAAAGCTTGTCACTTTCATTTTCTCTATATATGAGGGTCTTGTACACACAAAGTCCTTACTACCAAAAATCTAAACCCATGTACCTCAAAACTGAAACTCTGTAGACATCATTTAGATGACTACATTCAGCTCAATATTGCTTTCAGCCACCACCAAAGCAAACATTGACAGGTGCTGTAGGTTATGGGCATTTTGTCTTTTTCTCAGGAAAATCGGTCTCAGGCATTTGCTCCAGCCATTTCTTGTCCCCATATCTTAGGGGGTATTTACTTAATTTTGATCCCCTCCTTTGAACTAGGAATATACAGTGTACTGCATTTAAATGAACCACTTGAAAAAAGCCAGAAGATAAAAGCAAGAGAAGATGAGTTCATTGAGACAAAAGGCTTTTGCCCCAAATCCTGTAGCTGACAAAAACTGGTACAAGCTCTCATTATGCTAGTGTGTCTTCTTGCTGGATATTGCAGCAGGAGGGATACAGTATCTCTTTATACAACTCCCTGGCCCCACTTTGAAGTCTCTTGGCACACTCCCAATACCAATTGGAAGTGGAACCATCTGGCTGTAGTCACGCATCTTAGAAAAGCGAACAGCTGGAAGGGTGACATCTGTTTCTTTTTCTAGGCTGCTTTACTGCAACCACCTGGGAGCTCTCTGCCCTGCCGCCAGATAGAAGAAGGCACTGAGTGCCTTCCAGCTGGGATTACATGGCCAACAGCAGTGCAAGCCCAATGGTGGCATCCTGCCATAGATTTCTGCCCTGCTGGCCATGCTGCAGGATTGCGGCCTTTTTTTCTTGTCTTTTGCTTGACTGCATAACATCGCTAAAATTTAGGAGAAGAAACCCTTCAGAGAAAAGCATCATATTGCCTTTAGCATTGGTTCATCCCTATGCCGACCATGATTCAGTCATGGATGACTCAGCCTGCAAAGGAGAGCCGTGGGAAGGAGACACAAAAGAACAAGAGTTTTCATGGAGCGGGAAAGGAACTATTACTTTCAGACAAATTGTTGTTTTTTTTTAAGGATATAATTTCTGTGCCAGAACACAATGAGGACAGCGCTGAAGGTAATGAGCAGAGAATAAAAAAAAAGCTTCAGGGAATTGTGACTGCTTTCAGAAATACTGTATTTTTGAAAAAACCAGTGGACTGTAAGAAATACATGGCAAATGGCTAAGCATGGTGGGAACAAAATGAAAATAAAAGAAGTTATATAACAGCTTAGTACTGTGACATCAAAACCATTAAAAACTAATCTAATTAAATGGGGAAAGACAACATTTATGCTACCAATGCACCAATTAAGATAATTGGATAGATATATTTTTGCCTTTCTGGTGTTTAAATGTTTGTCTTTGCTATTGTTATAGCCCCATATCCAACCCATTACACCATGTTTAGTTCTTAAAGGTGTAGCTAGGCCATGCCATCTACAAGACCACAAACACAACAGAATGTGCTTCTTTGTTTTAAAGACAAGTTGAGTATGTCTGGTCTTCCAGATGTTGGACTACATGTTTCCCCTCAGTCCTACCCAGGTGAGGGAGGATAGAGCTGCTGTATTGTCGAAGGCTTTCATTGCCAGAATCACTAGGTTGTTGTAAGTTTTTCTGGATGTATGGCCATGTTCCGGAAGCATTCTCTCCTGATATTTCACCTGCATCTATGGCAGGCATCCTCAGAGGTTGTGAGGTGCTCTTCAATAACAGCTTGTGGTGTATATGTTCCCAATCTCTGTTATGAGATATACTAAGCTAATTCCAGCCGGTACACCTTTTTCCATCCTTATGTGCCAATCTATACTTGCTGAAATTTCCTGTTCTGCATAACTATTAAAAGCGATAAGAGCTCAACTCTCAGTGCTGCTAGGGCAATACCCAAAGTATAGGAAGTGCCCCTAGAATTTGCCTATTTCTCAAAATTAGCAGAAACCCAGATATCCAAAATGGAAAACCCATCTTTGAGTTATGTAAGGAAAGCAAGGAATTCCAGAACCTAGAAATTTTACTTGTTTGGACTACAGTTTCTAGAATCCCAAAAGTGGGTCCAGAGTTATCATACTTACTACCTGTAGAGATTGGATCCTCTAAGAGAGCTGTCTGATCTCTCTTAAAAGACACTATGGGTGTACTCTAGGGGTGTTTCTACACTATGCAGTTCGACATCACTTATTTGATTCAATGCTACTGTTATTGAAGCACTGGACCCCAAAATGGACCCACACCTGAAGAATGCCAAGGCATGGAGCACATGAGTGACCTTTCCCCTATAAACCCAGTTCCAGATGACCTTCAGCATGAGACTACCAAGTTGCATAAAGCACATGCATGTACAGGGCAAATCTGATAATCTCCTTCAGGTAAGAGACATAATCATGCCACATTAGCTCTGTGTATTTAACAATGGATCTAGAGCTAAAGGTCATGGAAGTTGCCTGGCCACACCCTCTTCCTGGGAACCCATTCAAATCATGCCAACATCCTTGCCACTCATTATTTAACCAGCCAAGACCCATAGTTCTACTCCGGGCAGACAGGAACAAATCTATTAGCACCCATTAACTCAAAACCTTTCATGCAACCATGAGAGATGGGCCAAAAAAACATCCACAAAACTTAAAACTGAGCAACTGAGCAAGGACAATTTATTAAAGTTCCTACCAGACCTGAGAGCCAATCAGCAGCAGCGACAGATGGCATGTCTCATGCAACCAGCATGTGGATTATTGCTGGTTCAGGGTGGGACAAATCTGTGCTCTAAGCGGTCTTTTGTTTTGAACTGCTACCAAACTCCCATAAATGCTTCTGTATGTTTTCATTGTCTCATGTCAGTTCTTGAGAACTCAGACTCTGCTTGGCATCCATTTTGGCTGAAGTGAATAAAGCCTCTGATCCTTTGCCTTCAACTCCTCTTTGTCACATTTGATCTTTGGAGCTAGACATTGTGGTTCTTGCAGTAGCTGAAGTCCCTCAACACTAAGGAATCATGGGAATTGTAGTTTTACAAGGACTTTAGCCTTCTTCGGCAATTAGTACTAGAGGCGTTCTAAATTACAGCTCCCATGATTCCATAGCATTTAGCCATAGCGGTTAAAGTGGTGTCCAACTGCATAATTTCTTCAGTATAGCTGCATCCTAAGAAAAAGTAAATTTAAGAGAATGAAGGAGAAATCTCACTTGCAGAGGGTATTCAGGTAACAATAGTATCTGTTGAAAGAAAACCATGAGCTCTCCTTAACAGCATCCCAGATTTGTTATTCAATATGTCAGCCTTCTTTAAACTGGTGCTTTCCAGATGTTTTGGACTACAGATCCCATTGCTTCCAGCCAAAATAGTAATTAGAGTTTTAATGTGCAATACATCTGGAATGTAGTAGTTTGAGAAAGGCTGGTATGAAGCATGTAGAAGAAGAGGTCAGCAACTAACAAGATTTATAACTGTAACTTGACAGACTAATAGAACACTGTGTATTAACAAATGATACAAATCATGCCAGTTTTTAATATCTCACTAATTTGTTCTTGTTTCCCATGTGACTGGTACAATCTGTCACAGAACAACCCCACCCCCCCCACATTCCGACATGTTTGCCCTTTCTTTCTTTCTTTCTTTCTTTCTTTCTTTCTTTCTTTCTTTCTTTCTTTCTTTCTTTCTTTCTTTCTTTCTTTCTTTCTTTCTTTTCTCTCTCTCCCCCCCCCCCCGCTTTCTTTCTTTCTCTCCTCCCTCCCTCCTTTCATCTTTCTTTCTTTCTTTCTTTTTTCTTTTGGTAAGTAAAGTAATGGGTAACCCCTTCTGAATATTCATTGATAGGGTTACCTTAAGGTCTCCATTGGTCTCAATAAATAAATACTAGTTAGTTGATATTTAATGACATCATTAGGGCTTCCTGCTTGTGATAATTAACCTTGTAACATCACCAGGGACGCCTTGTGACATCTCAGGAGGATGATAATCCCTGAGTTTTAGATTTCTGTCCTGAAATCCCCATGCCTGGGATAGTCCTCTCCTGGCAACCTTAAGTAAAGTTTCTTACCTTCAGGTGTCCACTTTTATTTTACATTGTCTAGCAATGGCTGCAGGCAGGAATATTTCTGTTTTGTTGTGCATTCATAGCACTTGGGCCAGGGCTGAGGAACATGTACTCACCTAGTGGTTTTTGGACTCTACTTCCCATTTGTTGAAGTCCATCTACTCAGTGTGTGAGGAATGATGGGAAATGCAATGCAGCAGTGCCTTGAGGTTCTCCACCTCTGACGAAACTAACGAGAAGAAAACAATAGAATGTTTGGGTATTTATAGATGGAAAATATTTTGCATTTACCAATGACTATCTTCATCATATCAGATGCTAATGAAATCACCGCTCCAATGTTGTTACCATTGTAAAATAAGAAAATGCCTGATGTAAACACAGTGACTGGTTTTCCCTCGTGTGCAGGCTAAAGGAGCATATGAAATCCTACAAGCCTGAGTGTGAGAAGATGTCATCACCACTTAATATGAAAGTGATTGGCTACATAGAGCATCTCTCTCTTACCCTGGGCACTCTCCTTGTGGATTGTTCTGCGATTGTGGCTGGTAAGTGCTTATGCAAGCCACATACTATTATTTATTTATTTATTTATTTCGTATACTTCTACCCCGCCCTTATCAACCCTCGAGGGGGGACTCAGGGCGGCTTACAAAGTGGCACAATTTGGTGCCTACACAAATACAATAACATATAAAAACAGCAATTAATGGTTAACAATTAAAACAATTAAAACAACAATATATCTCACAGTCAATCGCCAATCTCAAGCACAGCGTTCACCAACTCAGAGTCCATACTTCGTTCCACATTGTCTATTCCTATCCGTCGGCACCGTCCTTTATTCATCTGCCAGATTGCCCAAATGCCTGGTCCCACATCCATGTTTTTAATTTCTTTCTGAAGTAAAGGAGGGATGTTGCTGATCTAATTTCTCCGGGGAGTGAATTCCATAGGTGAGGAGCCACCACTGAGAAGGCCCTGCTCCTCGTCCCCGCCAATCTCACTTGTGACAGAGGTGGGGCCGAGAGCAGGGCCTCCCCAGAGGATCTCAGACTCCGAGGTGGGACGTAAAGGGAGATCCATTCAGACAGATACTCTGGGCCGGAACCGTATAGGGTTTTGTAGGTCAAAACCAGCACTTTGAATTGTGCTCAGAACTGGATTGGCAGCCAGTGGAGCTGACACAACAGGGGGGTGGTATGCTCCCTGTATGATGCTCCGGTGAGCAATCTGGCTGCCTCCCACTGGACTAATTGAAGTTTCTGAAAAGTCTTCAAAGGCAACCCCACGTAGAGTGCGTTGCAGTAATCTATCCGGGATGTAACAAGAGTGTGGACCACCGTGGCCAGATCAGACTTCCCAAGGTACGGGCGCAGCTGGTGCACAAGTTTTAATTGTGCAAAAGCTCTCCCGGCCACCGCTGAGACCTGGGGTTCCAGGCTCAGCGATGAGTCCGGGATCACTCCCAAGCTGTGAACCTGCGTCTTTAGGGGGAGTGTAACCCCGTCTAACACAGGCTGTAACCCTATACCCTGTTTGGCCTTACGACTGACCAGTAGGACCTCTGTCTTGTCTGGATTCAGTTTCAATTTGTTAGCTCTCATCCAGTCCGACACAGCAGCCAAGCACCGGTTCAAGGTCTGGATGGTCTCCTTGGTGACAGGTGAGAAGGAGTGACAGATTTGGACATCATCTGCATAGAGATAACATCTCATTCCAAAACTCTGAATGATCTCCCCCCAGCGGCTTCATGTAGATGTTAAATAACATCAGGGACAAGATTGAACCCTGTGGGACTCCACACTGCAACGGTTGTGGGGCCGAACAGGTGTCACCCAATAACACCTTTTGGGACCGTCCCTCAAGAAAGGATCGGAGCCACTGCAGAGCCGTGCCCCCGAGCCCCATGTCCATGAGGCGCCCCAGAAGGATACTGTGATCGACGGTATCGAAGACCGCTGAGAGGTCCAGCAGAACTAACAGGGACACACTCCCCCTGTCCAGCTCCCGGCGAAGATCATCTACTAAGGCGACCAAGGCTGTCTCAGTTCCATGTCCCAGCCTAAAGCCAGACTGTGCCGGATCTAGATAATTAGTGTCTACCAGAAATCCCTGGAGTTGTGTTGCCACCACACGTTCCATGACTTTGCCCAAATAGGGGAGATTGGAAACTGGCCGATAGTTGTCTAATTGAGTGGGATCCAGTGATGGTTTCTTCAACAGCGGTATTATGATAGCTTGTTTTAAGTTCGCTGGAAACTTTCCCTCCCGTAAGGAGGCATTAACCACCACCTTCACCCACTCTGCCAACCCCCCTCTGGCTTCTTTTATCAGCCAGGATGGGCAGGGGTCTAGGATGCATGTGGTGGGTCGCACCTCTCCAAGGATCCTGTCCACATCCTCAAGCTGAACCAATTGAAATGAATCCAACAAAACCGGACAAGCAGATGCTCTCGTTACATCCCCAGAGACCGCCGTTAATATGGCGTCAAAACCCGACCAAATCCGCGCAATTTTATCTGCGAAGAATCGAGCAAATGCTTCACAGTGAGCTACCGTGTTATCAGGGGCCTCGCTTTTCGGCGGATTTAATAGACCCCTGACAACTCGGAAAAGCTCAGCTGGACGATTCTTTGCAGATGCAATGTTCGCACTATCATGGCCAGACTATATGGACACCATTACGGGACCAACCCCTCAAGTTGAATTGGAAGGAAAATGATCAAATTTGGACCAGGAAGTGAGCAACATCATTTCTGTTTTTTTATTATCAGCTGATGAGAGGGGAGTTCTTAGAATCACAGATTCACAGTTGGAAGAGACCCCAAGGGCCATGTAGTCCAATCCCTGGACAATTTTCTAAGAAATTTAGGCACAGAAGAAGGGAAGATATTGTAGTTTGCAATGGTTTTGAACATGGGACCTGAAAAACTACACATAATGTTTTAAGAAGTTTGGGTCTTTGCAGGGCTTCAGGAACCACACTTGGGCTCCCCATGGACTACATGTGGCCACACTTAGTCCAGCTGTGCCATGAACAAAACCACTGTGACAGCTGCCACTTGGAACTAATAAATGGATTTGGGATCAAGGCTAAAGATAAAAACGTCTATTCCAGCTGCTTGGGGTTAAGAGGGCATCTTTCTTGCTCAGGAGATCCCTCGTAGTCTGAGGGTGATGGCTTTCCAAGTGTAGTGTCTTGGAGGACTTGCTTCCCAACCAGATGTAATAGGGATGTAAATGCTGACTGGGGCATTCTGGGAATTAGAGTCTTAAATTCATGTTTACAGGCAATGTTGGGCTTTCTGAATAATTTTTCATTGTTGTCACAGAGGATCATGAGAAAAACTTTTCCCTGGGGCTACAGACCCTGAAGTCTTTGAAGGTAACCTTTTCTCTACCTTTCACTTCATCTTTAGTATCTTTTCCCATTTTCTCAAAATGATTTTAATCTCTCTCTGATTACTTTTCTTATATGTCCACTGATTCCTCTTTTAGTGTGTGATAAACATGGAAAAGCATCATTTGGTCCTGGGGAAGACAACTAGGGAAGAAATCCCTTTTGCCTTTAACACCTCTGCACAAGAAGAGAAGTGAGTTTTGCATTGATATTTAGGATTGAGTCATGCAGTCAATGAATTGGCATGATCAGGATGGAAGACACGTTAGTCCTAGCTGGGGTTGACACATAATGGCGGGACTGCATGGTGTGTTTTGTGCGGTATGTTTAATTTACACCATCAACAAGTTACCAGGAGGAGTTCAACCCATAGGATCCATTTCCCATTTGACCTAAGCCAAAGCCCATCACATAGTCAATGGGTATATTTCTCAGTGGACTGACTGTTTCTGAATCTCTTGGTGAGTTTACACTTACCTGTGTTCTGTAATTGCTTGGCATTCTTTTCTAAGAAAAAAAGAGATAGTGGCTGGCATTATGTTGGTTAGCTCCAATTAAAGCCATCCATTCAATCAGTTGTTGAATAGTTTATGTACAAACTCAATTGCTTCAGATTCTGAGCTGTATCATCCAGATTAGTCTAGTACAGTCATCTCTGTCAACAGCAAATCAGTCAGACAGACTGGGAAAGGATATGGGTTGTTGTCACTGGTGCATTCAAGAGTGTATGTGGGTTGGATATATTGTGCGCATGTGTGTGTAGTCAGTCATATGGGCATGTCTTTGTTCTAACATCAAAAGATCAGGGCTAGCCTAGGACATGCATAAAATCCCAGATCTTATTCCCTTTTGAGAGACTGTTTATTCCTCTTATTGCAGCACTTCTGAAGCTTGAAGAGGTGACATCGCTGGCTTTGGAGGGAGAGAAAAAAAATGATGTGGTTGAAACTGGAATTGGCTGTACTGATTATCCTCCCCTGCTAGACTCTGGCTGGATTGTAGCAAAAATGAAAGCACAGGCGTTCTTAAGGAGCTTAGGAGAGCTTCAAATCTTCTGTTGCCATGCCAGGGATCTGGACAATGGACTTGTATGTACATGTCCAAGCCCCTCTTCAAAATGGTGTGGTTTCTATGGCCATTTAAGTACCTGTATGATAATGCTTATTTTCCAGAATCTACAGATCATCTCTTTGATTATGAATGGGGTATTGAAATTGTGAAACTGAGATGAAAGGATTTTGTAACTTCCTCTTTGGAGCCAATTGTATTTAGACACAAGAGAGACTTTGGGAATCAGATTTTTAGAATGTATTTTTTCACTGGGAAGTAAGGAAAAACTCGACATGTCAGGCAGCATACACTGACCAATGTGTGATGAAATGACATTCATTTAACAAATACACTGTGGGAGGGGGAAGGATAGGACTCCCCCCCCACATGCCCACATAAGGTTTGCAGGTGGCATAATTGAGTATTTATTTATTGCTCATAATAATATAGGTTTGATCCAAAAGTTTCCCTTGAGTGGATTTCCATTCACAGGAATGTTCTACTATAGGAGGAAGATGAACGATCAGTTTTCACTGATTTGTCCTGCTGCTCTCTGAAAAGCTCCTCCATGAAGATGTCGAGAGACGGAGCTGTTGAGAGGTGCAGGGAGAAAGGAAAATCAGCAAAGACCACTTTCTCATTTTTCTGTCTAACACAGTGGTTCTCAACCTTCCTAATACCATGACCCCTTAATACAGTTCCTCGTGTTGTGGTGACCTCCAACCATAAAATTATTTTTGTTGCTGCTTTATAACTGTAATTTTGCTACTGTTATGAATCATAATGTAAATATCTGATATGCAGGATGTAATTTCATTCACTGGACCAAGTTTGGCACAAATACCCAATACCCCCAAATTTGAATACTGGTGGGGTTGGGGTGGGGGGAGGATTGTTGATTTCATCATTTGGGAGTTGTAGTTGCTGGGATTTATAGTTTACCTACCATCAAAGAGCATTCTGAACCCAACCAATGATGGATTTGAACCAAACTTGGCACACAGAACTTCCATGGCTAACAGGTTGAGAAACACTGGTCTAACAGGAATTTCTCTTGAATCTTAGGCCCATTCTACACTGCCTTAAAAATCCAGATTATTTGCTTTGAACCAGATCATATGGCAATGGTAATCCAATTCAAATCAGATAATATGGATTTTAGATTCAAAGCAGTGTAGATGAGGCCTTAGTCCCTTATACGAAATGGAGATCTTCTGTTCACAGAAGGATAGCTCTGAATCCAACCCATCGTATTTTTCAAATGTGCCTGGATCTTTCTTTGCCCATCATTAAATTCAGTTTGGAACTGTCAAATATACAGCTTACCCAAATAATCAGAGTTAATTAGATTTTTAACAAATGTATTCATTCTCTGAAAACAAAATAAAGGATGTAAAATAATATTAGAGTCTTCCTGTTCCAGGGCACTCACTTTATCTGTGGGTCATATAAAAATCCACAATTTTGGCCCCAAAACCTACCCTTGAGTTGTACACAAGGACAACCTATCCTCAAATATCTATGGTATATACATTTTAACAATTTAATACACAGGTCTAGGATTTCAGTTGTATATTATGTATTTTATAAGCAGCAAATTCACACACAAAAATAAATTATAATATGAACGTTCTGGGACTGGTTCTTTAGCTTGTATATGATTTCCAGGTTTCCTGGTAGTACGAAATATGTTTGAACATAAAAAGGGAGATGAAAAAACAAAGCAACGAAGGGTATATAATATACACAGTTGGAAACAGTGACTTCATGACTTCATCTTCAGTTTTTCTAAACAGTTGCTTGTCCAGTCATATTTCTTTTTAGATCCATCCTCACTAGTGACGTATATTCCCAGGAAAAGTAGGAATAATTGCACAATGTGCATCCACCAATCACCTTCCTGTTCATGTTGGGGAATTAAAATTCATCACCACACTGCCTTCATATCTCTAGCTTCCCAGGCAGATTCTCCACTCTCCAGGACACTGGATGTTGAGCCAAGAAAGATGCTATTTCCTCTCTGCTCCAGGGCCCCAATATTACTGATTTGATTGTCTTTGCCAGCTACTGTTTTATGAGTCATGGGTTGCTGCTGCTCTGACTGGATGCTCTGGTGTTATTTGCTAGGGCTGATAACCTTGGGGTCAATTCCCTGCCCTGTAACTCTGAGCAGTGTTTTCTATCATTTTCTTGAGCTTTTCCTTGTCAGACATAGTCCATCTTCTGGAAAGTATTTATCTGCATGGTACTTTTTGAAGTATCAAAAGTATAAGCTTTTTGTGAGTTTTTCGCCAAGTGTGTCACAAGTCATTGTCAGATTGCTTCAGCAACCTATTCAGGTAGGTAGTTGTGCTACAAATGCAGTCTGAAATGAGCTGAAATACAGGTGAAATTGATAATTCATTGTGCTCAAATATGCATATTTCCTATTTGACTCATTTTCATAACTTGGCAAGATGGTAACCTGCCTGTTGCTTGCACACTCATCAATTCTGTACAGAGGCAGCAAATATATATTGAATAATGAGCTTGGACACGCAAATACAGTCATTCCCCCCCCCCTGAAAACACGAGGAGCTATTTTGTAGATAGTCTTGCCTCTCCCCATTTACTCCCAGTTCAGAATAGATTCTGCCTATAGCACAGCCCAGGCCTTTACACCAACCTCCAACAGCCTTGCACTCCCTGGCTTTACAGTAAACATCACAGATGTGCTTCAAATTACAATGTTAAATGAACTGTTTTTTTCTGGAAAGGAGCTTTTGTCGATCTGAGTCTGTGTGCATGCATGCAGAAGAACATATGCACTCTGAATATCATACTAACAGGATGCAATATTTTAGATATAATGCATCACTTATATATTTATCTAGTAGAATTTGTACTGAATATTAGCTTAGAGCTGGAAGAACTGTCATTAAAGCCAAAGGAAGGAAGTACTAGAACCAATTTCAGAAAACTGCTGAACCAAAGCCTTTGGAGCAGTGCCAGTTGGTGTAATTTGTTCTGACCAGTTATTTTATACAGTGAACATAAAAACATGCAATGAATACAACAGAATTTGCAGACCAGTATCTCTGTATTTTCATATTTGATGGTTTGGCTTTTTGCATTGGCTACTATATTGCTTACACACCTGCTGTATTAATGTTTGGAGCTATTACCCCGAGTATTATCACCCTCCTTAATATTTCTGGTAAATATATTTTTTAAAAAGCGCAAAGCAAAACTTCTCTGTGTTTACAAGATTAACTGCACTGTGTGTATACCTGCCAACATGTTGTAGAAAATAGAATATATTTGTTTAAGCAAATATGCCACTAATGTGGTATTTGGCTAATTTATTATCAGAGTGTTTATTACTGTGATGACTATGAAAATAAAATATCTGGCTAAACATATATTGATGCTTATTGATTTCAGCCTCATGGTATTTTATTGATAAATGTTTTGGTCCCCTTTGATCCAAAACACACTCATCTTTAGCCAAAACCTAACCAAAGTGGTTTTTGTTTTTTGTTTTTGTTTTTTGGAAGCATGGCTGATACACCACAAGAAGGAGAACTCTCTTGAACCAGCTCAACTGGGGATTTTGTGTGAATGTGAATGTAGTTAGTCAGTAGCCATTGGGAAACTTACAAATAAAGTAATAGCTGAACCCTGGTATATGTTCCTAGGGTCTGTTGCTCACTGTTTTACTTTACAGGGAGAGAAGTAAGTGTATGCCTGTCTTTTGTTTCACCTTTCCATATCTTTCTTTACTCTGTGTACTCAAACCATTTGCTTTCTTCTTACCTGGATATATTCATTTCCATGTTCTTCCAAGAAGTTAAGCTCTTTGTTGCCTTTGTGTTATGTGCTTTCAGCTCTGCTTGGGCTTGGAGTGCCAAGCTTTCAAAGGACCAGATGAGACACAGGCTCCTTCTATACTGCCTTATATACCAAGATCTGGTCCCAGATTATCTGATTTAAACTAGATTATATGAGTCTCCACTGCCAGATAATCTGGGATTAGCAGATAATCTGGGATGAGATCCTGGGACATAGGGGCAGTATCAAAGGGGCCACAGACCGACTGAAGGCAAAATCAGAATCTTTGTTCTCGATCACCACAGAGGATGCCAGTGGAGATAACCCTCCAAAGAACTGACATACCTCAGTTGCAAAAACAGAGCATATTTATTTCATTCTGACAGCTATTCAAGAAACCTTCACATGCTCCTGATTGGGTTAGAAGCTGTCCGGCTAAGAACTATGATCCAAGTTGCTCAGGACTCCATCCGATGTCATCACTGGTTGGTTCTTCACAGTGGCAGGAAATTTGATAAATTGACATTGGAATATTTGAAGTGACAGTTCATTTACTGATCCACCCAGGAGAAGGGCGCAATTGAGAAGAAATGCAGTGTGGCTGGTGATAATGAACTGGGTTTGGAACTCATTTCTTCAGCTCGTGTTAGGCGCCTCAAGTTGTTAGCCAAGTCAAAAGGTCTCTCTGAAGGGGATCTAGGAAAGGGAGTGTTCCCAAGCTAGTCAAGAACATATGGGTAAAAAAGACAAAGGGGACCTAAAGGCTCTGATGCAAAATCATTGTCTGTCACTCTCCCATTCTTCCCAGTTCATTGTGTTAGGATTATGATAATTTCCTCTGGGTGAGATGAGGTACCTTTCTGGGGAATTTCTAGGGAATCACATAGAAAGGTTACTATAGGACTATCAGAAATAACCATATGGCTAGCTATATTTTCCAATGGAGCCATGCCTCATAATTGATAATTTTGGGGTCAATTTTTTTTATTACATTTGTCTGGGAAGGAAATGTCCATGGGCTCTAACCCCAAAGATGAATGCTAGCTTACACCCACACATGAGAGCTAGCTTTTAGGGGCTCTGCTCACCAAGTTTAGATCAACTTCTTTTATGTGTCTCCTTTCCTATCCTAAAATGGATTTCCTGAGACAATACACATTAATTGTATAACATGTCCATGAAAGTCCTTGAACTTTTTTTCCTGCCGAAAACACTATAATTTCATGTTTTGTAGTCAAATGGAGGGCATGACAGTTGTCTGGCAGAGAATTCCAAATGCCCCTTCCCAAATCACAAGTCTCTGGAATCCTTAGGATATTGCAATGACAGCTAGAAGTGGAACCATAGTGTTCTAATGATATAGTGTGAAACAGCCCCAGGTCTCTAGTTTTATTCTCCTCTACCATTGCTCTCCTTGGCTTCCTAGCCCCACTAATATATGTTTGAATGTAGCAGAGTAATTGATATCCTGTTTCATGTGGATAAATAATTGGTGCCTTGATATTTTATAAGGTATCTTGGTGGAAGTCAAATATGTTCTGTTGCCTTTTTTGTTTGTCTCTTTTGTTCTCCTTTGTAATGAGAGGATCTTGTGGGTGTATTGATTTTTCAACAGAACAAATGGCTATCTGTTCTTGGCATTTTGAAATCTTTATTTGCCATTCCTGGGGGAGAATCTAAATGTGGTTTTATACCCTCCAACATTTCACAGACGAAATCTGGGACATACCTGGCCAAGCAACATTATTGTATGGTTAAGATAGCAAACATTATTGAGATCAATAACACATTCTAGGAGAAGTTGCAGCAGTTTGCTTTTGCCTCAGCTTCTAGATAAAAATATTCTGCCCTCTTCTCTCTCCATTGCTGAGTTAATTAGCACAATGAATGGGACCCAGTCTTTCTTAAGGTTAGTAAGAGATCTCTCCTTGATTGACATATATCTCTTATCTTGTGTCGTAATCATTGAGTCTTTCCATCTTTGAGCATAGATCATTCTTGCTGCCGTTCTCATGTATAGCAATAACTTTCTACATTTTCTATTGAGTTGAACATCTAACATCCTAAGCAGATAGAGTTCAGGTTTCATTTCAAATTTAACTTTAACACAACTGAGCAATGGTAGAATGATGCTTTGAGACCTAATTATGAATGTCTTTTGCATTGCATTGTAATCATTTTTCTTCAATATAACTTTCTAAACTTTGCCTGTAAAATAAATAATGTGAACAACTGATTCCTTTATCCATGCATGCAGAAACATAGACGTCAATGTGCGCTAAACAGGCTCCATTTTACATTTTCTTATTATCTCATGTACTTAAAAATTCAGCTTTGTGATTGAAAACACATTCTGAGATTAAGTCTGCCTCAAAGTTAGACCTTATCTTTTAAAATATAACGTATGGCATGAGTTTGAGTGCCATCTAATCAGAAAATAATGAGAATTAAATCTGAGTTCAAATCCTTTGAGAGCCACAGGATTACTGAGTGCCCTTGAGAAAAATTCTGCCCTTCGGCTTCAGCCTCCACTTTGGAAATGAGGCATTAATGATCATCTCAAGCATTGTTGCTAATGTGCAAAAGAGATAAGGATCATGAAGTACTTTGAAGAGGAAAGTGCTTTAGACATGATTAATGAAATGAAATATGGTAAAATAAAATGCTGTATGAGAAGTCTGGAAGAAGAGAGGAACAGACAGGTAATAATGATGCAGCCTTCCAGAAGCTGCTGAACTGCTTTTCTCATTGGCAACTCATATTCTCTCAGCCTTGTTGTTGTTGTTCATTCATTCAGTCGCTTCCGACTCTTTGTGATGTCATGAAACAGCCCACGCCAGAGCTCCCTGTTGGCCGTCACCACCCCCAGCTCCTTCAAAGTCAAGCCAGTCACTTCAAGGGTGCCATCCATCCATCTTGCCCTTGGTCGGCCCCTATTCCTTTTTCCTTCCATTTTCCCCAGCATCATTGTCTTCTCTAAGCTTTCCTGTCTTTTCATGATGTGGCCAAAGTACTTAATCTTTGCCTCTAAAATCCTTCCCTCAAGTGAGCAGTCGGGCTCTATTTCCTGAAGCATGGACTGGTTGGATCTTCTTGTGGTCCAAGGCACTCTCAGAACTTTCCTCCAGCACCACAGTTCAAAAGCATCTATCTTCCTTCGCTCAGCCTTCCCTATGGTCCAGCTCTCATATCATAGGTGACTATGGGGAATACCATTGCTTTTATTATGCGGATCCTGGTTGCCAGTGTGATGTCTCTTCACTATTTTATCGAGATTGGTCATTGCTCTCCTCCCGCTGGTTTAATGTCTTGATTTTTACCCCATGTCAAAGTATGAGTGGATGAATGTGTTAGCAAACCTATAGCAACCAATGACTGAAATCCTACACTGCTGCAACATAGTATAAAAACATCAGTGTTACATAAGTAACAACCAGAGTTAAATGTTCCACTTATATTACACAATACCTATACGAAATATCATTGAAGGGCAGTGTATGGCTCACACCCTGTTGCAAATTACATGCACAATGCCCTCTGGGGTGAATGGAAGTCTTCAGGAGAGGCAATTCCCCTTTCCAATAGGTTGCAGGATTTCTGGTGCTGCTTAAATGTTAAACAATATTCTTTAAAATAAACAGATGTCTTGCCACTTGTTTCACATTGTTGGGGTTCATATTATTTTTGGAGGGGAGGCATTTTTGGAAGTCTGTGTGGTCTTTGCAGGATCTCAATGCAGAAATTTCACCTATGGACTCACTGTGATTTGCCATCCCTGATGTACCCTACCGGATACACATTGGTATATGTTTACTATGTGGAATTTCCTTCCATCTCTGCCTCAAATGTCCACTACACGAGTAACAGAACATATGCCTACATATGTCATTAATAGACTGCTAGCTGTTGTAGTTAATAAGAGTGCTACTAGTGGAAGATGTTCACTTGGGATCAACAAGAGAATGGCAAATAGAAGATTCTGTTCATTAGTTTCCTTTCCCTTGTAATGCAGCTTCCAACTCATACTGTATCAAATGGATTTAAGAAATATTTCAAAATGTTTGTGATTCATGAGCACCTCTTATCACTTAGCAACCAATGCTTCTGCAAAGTCCTTGTATGCCTTTTGGTGTGTGTATGTATTCACACAAAGAGAAAGAAAACGATATTCTTTGTATATGTGGAAGTGATATTGATGTATAGAAACTCACAGGTTTTTCAACAGCAGTCTTATTTACTCGATGACAAATATATTCTTCTGAGAGCCCTTATTCTGAAAAGTAAGCCTTGCAAGTGATGAACGCTGAAGCATTCTTTCAGGCTGACTCACCAAGAAATCATTGGCTTAATTTAGGGATCCAATTGCAGACAATACTTCAAGATGATCGTTTTGAATAAGCCCAACTTTACATGAAGAACCATCCCTCCAATACAGCTGTGCTGGATGACAAGCCTTTTAAAATGCTCTTCACTTGGACGCCCTTCCACCCCAACCCTTGAATATTGCCAAAGAAAAAGGAAGATTTAATATGAACAAAAAGAAAATGGGGTTTCAATTTACTCTTTGGGGTGGAGATGATGATTTCATTTT